CTGGATACAAGAAAGCAAAGTGAAGGGACCTCCAAATTATATTCTTCACATAAAGTGTCAAGTTGGATGACCCTGGGTCTCTGCTTCCTTTGTCATGCAAACTCCAGACTATGTCCTAAATGTACCTCCAAGGGGCAAGCCAGGTGGGACTGGACAAAGTGTCTTCACTGGCAAAAAACTCTCTGTATACCTACCTGGCTACTAAGAGTCCCACAAGTCTACCTGAGTATTTCCCACTTCTGGATTTCCAGGGCTTCTGACTCATGTTATCAGAATCTTAAGAGATAGGTCACCTTGTTATTTGAAATATTTACCCATCGAATCCCCTGGATTTCAGGACCAAACCATCTCTCTGTTAACTCTTGCCCCAAATTACCAGCTTCTCACCTCCAAGGCATTAAGAACTCCCTCACCCTCCAATATCTCTCCTCAATTACTGACTTTATGGAATCTTCCTCAATATCTCAAAGTCATTTCCCCATCTTTTCTCACTGAGAAACCCTCAGAAACATGGTATCCCTGTCCTGGTCCCTGCTACCTTCAATAACAGGTGTATTCACTGGCAAACATACTCTCCTTCTAGGCTGTTTGTGCTTTTGATAACTTTCTGGTCCTCACCTTCATCACAACTCCTTCGATTCACCCCCAATGTACCAACATTATCTGTACTCTTCACTCAGGTGTCCTAAGCAGTCATCCCAAGATTTTTCTAAATACCTCTTCTTCTGAACCTACCATCTGGACACCACGTCACTCCAGCCTCCCCACCCCCATTCTTACTCCCACTCCCAATCGCAGCCCCTTAAGCTATACTTCCCTGCCTCACTCCCAATCTCAGCCCCTTAAGCTATAATTCCCTTCCTCACTCCCAATCACAGCCCCTTAAGCTATACTTCCCTTCCTCATTCTCAATCTCATCCCCTTAAACTATACTTCCCTTCCTCTATCACTCAAGCCTGATCCTGACTCTCTACTCCTTTTTTCCAGGGCCGCCCAGTTTATTACAATCCTTCCCTGCTGCCGAAAGCAGCCACGGTGCCTGCTCCAGGTTCCGATTCAGCGCTCCTCGCCACTCCTCACCGGCATCTCAACTCCATTCCAGGAGCTGTCTTATCTGATCCTGCCCCTTAGTACTGTTCAGCCCTCAAATCCCTCCCAACCACCAGCCGGCTTCACCAGCTCTGCCTGCCCTTGTCGCACCGTTCCAGGGTCCATCAGACAACTCCTCCATCTCCCGCGGGTCCCGTCAGCCCCTCCTGCAGTGCCGGCTGGTCCTTCCACCTAGCTCCCTCGGCCCCTCTGGATGACCCGCAGCCAGCTCTTCCTGTCCCTTTGACCCCATCTTACGCCCAGCCCGGCCCCGTCTGGCCCCCTCGGCCTCTCCTCAGGCCTATATTCGTCCCTGGCTGCCCCTCCACCTCGGGTTGCCGCCTGGCTCTCTTTGCCCCCTTTGGCCTCACCTCGATTCCTGTCCGGGCCCCCCCATGTTCCCCCTCCGTCCCTGCTGGGCTACCCACTATCCCATCACCAGCCTTCCTGGCCGCCATCCCCGACGCTGCCTCCCTCCCTCCCGGCTTCTGCACCGCGGACAGGACACTCACTACTCCTTGAGCAACACCATGTCGCTTCGCGGCTCGGCGACTGCCGGCTGTCCGCCCGGCCTCCAGCCCGCTTCCCGGAGGCCGCTCTCCCTGTGGCCCGGCCCGGCCCGGCCGCCTGTACGCCTTCGTCGTGGTCTGCTCCGTCCCCGCCGCTCTCGCTGCGGTC